TTTAATTAATATTTATTGTTGTTTTATTGTGAACCACCCAGAGTCACTTTTTCGTGAGATGGGCGGTATCTAAATTTGAAATATAAGTAAATAAATAAATTCCAAGTGAGGTTTCTGAATGAACTTGACTAGGATGGAGTTAGCTTTCTTTTCCCCGACCTGACATCTTCCAGATGGGCTGGATTGCACATCCAGGTCTCCACAGAATGGCATTGAGCAACTGGAGTCTCAGTCCTACACTTTTGCAGAAGGCCGGAATACTTTGATTTTGCAGACGTGCCCTGCATCTGCTCTTCTCTTGCCAGAAAAAGTCCCTGGACCTTTCCTTGCAGTATTCTTGCAGGGAGAGATGGCAGGGTGATCAGTTGCACCCCCTTATTGCTTTCTATGACTTACTTTGACTCTCAGCCTCTCCTTCCTCCACTTTGCGCTCCCCACCACTTGCCCCCCATGTAGAACTGGAAGCATATGCTGGAGTGATCAGTGCCTTGCGGGCCCAGGGAGATCTGACCAAGGAGAAGAGGGATCTTCTGGGGGAGCTTTCCAGAGTGCTGAGGTAAACCCAATTAGCCTGGATCACTTGGCTTTCTCTCTGCTAAGGAAGGCTGTTTTGAATCAAAATCCACTTGGCCATTCAGTTGGAGGTGCAAAAAATGCAGAAAGTGGCAGGGGGGGGATCCTTTCCTCATAAGAAGAACAGTCGATCTTTAGGGGATTATAGGGAAACCTTGCTCATTCACTAATTGGGGGACATGCCTATTATAAGCACCCCTTGTTAAAGTGCTATTTACTACCACCTCACCTTGCACTACACCTGTTTCTTTTTTGACCTTTTTCTGGGCAGGGAGACATGTTTCCAAATAAAGAACCAGGTTGCAGTTGTGCATAATGTTTATTTCCACCAAAGGCTCTGGGCATAGCTGTCTGGTTGAAGCCCCAGTGATGTCACATGCTACAACATTGTACAAATGTTGCAATTACGTAATGTGCATCATTTGCAGGATTGATGTCATGACGCGTGCAATGTCACGCTTCCCTTGCTTCTCAAGAAGTGTTGCTTTGATGCCTGTGGCTCCTGTAGTATCTGTTCAGGGGAAAAATGGGAATTATGATTAAGCCCATCGCAGGACCAAATTTTGAGGAAACTGTTTTAACCTCTAAGTAACAGTTAGGGTCCCCCTGCACAACAAGCTTGCAAAAGGGGAATTGTTAGATTAAATTGAAAAACAAGGGGCAAGTTTTATAAGCCATTAAGTAACCAGCAGTTAAACAATAATAATCCATGTATCCTAATAGCAAGAGATGGGGCAAATTCTGGTTTTCGCAACCTACTGAGTTAGTCAATGGGGAAGCCGACAGGAGTTTGCAAATGGCAGTGACGTGACCGTGGGACGCAACCGCGCAGGATTCACCTAACAACAGCAACCGGAACTGGCACCATAAGTTGGTGTGGTTACCTGACGTCGTGCTTTACAACCGCGTTGCTTAGCGACAGAATTGCTGGTCCCAGTTACCGTTGTTAAGTGAGGACTGCTTGTAGTCTTGCTTCCATTAAATGTACATTCCACTTTGCAAATCTGAAGTTAAATTTGATCTATGTCTTTCAACAGCATTTCGACGGAAAGACACCGGGCAGAAGTTCGGAGGGCGGTCAACGATGAACGCTTGACAACTATTGCACATAAGTAAGATGGGAGTATTAAGAAAATTTTATAACCGGATCTCACATAAGGGAACATTTCTGAGTGTCTCTTTTTCCTTCAGTGCTCTCTGCCCAGTATGTTTATTTCTTTACTACATTTTTACCTCACTACAATCCAACAGATATTTAACGGCTTACAGATATAATAAAACAAAAGTACAGATATGCAAAAGGGCTAAAATCCTAAAACCACATAAAACATACAGTGCGAGACAGAGAGGCCTCACAGTCCAAACACCCTCCAGGAGAGCTTGGTTTTCAACATCTTCCAGAAGGTGGCTAAGATAAGAGCAGATCTAACCTCAAGCAAAAGGTCACTGCAGTGTCACCACTGAGAAGCAACACTTGAGTGTTGGCCCTCCCCGACTTCCCAAAAGTGGGGAGCAATCAAAGGCTTCTCCCCACTCTGTTGTAACAATTAGGCAGGCTGCAAGTAGTTGAAGACATGCTAGAGAGCACCTGTCTGCTTCCTCGGAAGAAAGGCGTCCCAGATAACACAGCCAGATGATACTGCAGCCATCACTCTAGGTATTATTGGTTTACTCAGTGCAATACATAAACGCAGCCCGTGATTCATTGGTGCAGCTTCTTAACTGGTGCCTTCCAGCAAGTGAGAACAACAGATTAGGGAAAGGATAAGTAACTTAGGTGGAGAGCGAACAGGCTGTTTCTAAAGCTGTGGGTTTCTTTTCAGTATGTCTGGGCCTAACAGCTCTTCAGAGTGGTCCATCGAAGGCCGTCGACTGGTTCCTCTGATGCCCCGGTTGGTTCCTCAAACAGCCTTCACCGTCACAGCAAATGCGGTGGCCAACGCAGCCCTCCAGCACAACGCATCTCTCCCTTCCCCTGCAGAAACAGGAAGCAAAGAAGGTGAGGGTAGGTGGCCTTTCTCTTTTTACAGGATGGGGAATGAGAAGAACGGAGATAGTTTTCACATTTGGAAGGAACAAACCTTGAACTGGGGTTTAGCATACTTTGAAGACAGCTGGGTGCTATTGCGTGTGGGGCCCAAAAATGATTTAAGAAAGCAAAACTTATTTTAAAAACAACGAACGAAAACGTGTGTTTTGTCTTCCTCTTCAGTAGTGGTTTGCTACTCCTACACAAGTACCACCTCTACACCAACGTCCACTCCTGTACCGAGCGGTAGTGTTGCAACAGTTAAATCCCCCAGACCTGCCAGCCCAGCCTCAAACGTTGTCGTTCTCCCAAGTGGAAGTGCTGTTTACGTTAAAAGTAAGTGTATTATCAGCCAAAATGGAAGATCTGGACTTGAAAGAGTATAGAGATGATCAGAATATGTCGGTTACACCTCAAAGCAGGCTGCTGGAATGCTGATGTAGTGGCTCCAGTTTACAATGGAGGTTAAAGTAGCCCATTTTGAAGTCAGACTACTTCTGGTACTCTTGGAACAGATCATTTCAAGGTTGCAGGTTAGAACAGTTTGATTGTACAGGTAGTCGTTTAGCGACCACAATTGGGACCAACTCGGTCGCTAAGTGGGAACTCACGTGACTGTGATTGTGCTTATGATTTGACTTTCTTTTTGCCCCACTCCCCTGCCCTTTGGAATGCTCAGCCCGGCGCTGTGATAATTAGCAAAAAGGGAATTAATGTTTGTATTTACATTAATTGGAGAGAAAGGGATTACAAGAGAGTAAGCAGGCACACAGTGGGGAATACACATTGAAAGGAAAGTTTGCCTAGCCTGCTGGGAGCCTAGAGCTGCTTAGGAGGCAAACAAAAGCCAAAGGTGTGAAAGGGATTAAAGTCTTGTCAGTTACAGGCAGCAACTGGAAGCTGGCTAATTAAGGTTACAGAGTTGAGCCTGTTAACTTGTGGTTAGCCTTTTGGGGAAGTGCTGGGCTCTGGAGAAAAGCAGCTCAGGAGGAGATCACTTGTTTAAGCAATCTCTGCACTCTGCCGGAGGAGAAAATAAAAATGGTGAGGCACAGGACAATGCCTACTAACTGATGTAATGGTGAACACGCGATTGAGAGAAACTGCAAAGGTTGTAAATGCAGGCGTTGGTCACAGAGTTATTTTTTTAGCACCGTCGTAACTTTGAACGGTTGCTGCACAAGGCAGTTGGTAAGCAAGGTCTACCTGTAGAATATTTTATACATCCTTGTAGCCAAGGGCTCATGGAATATTTAGTGTTAAGGAGCAAACTCTATTATGAGGGCTTTGGCAAATCTGCAAGTTTGATTTTCTCAGATTCTCATTTTTCCAACCCAGCTTCCTCAGTCCATTTCTGCGCATTTCACCTAACATATACATTTTATGCAGGATATTTTTCACAGAGAAGTGCCTTATATTCTGTTACACAGTCTGCCTAAGTCACAGACTGCATCTGGGAAGAAATAAGAATTTTCTTTGAAGCAGGTGTAGGTTTTTACGTACAACTTTGGGGAGCGCAAATAAGGGAAGTTTGCATTTGAAAGCCAGTAGCAGAGGGTTCTCCACTCTTTGTCCGATAATCTGTAAAATGCTTTAGAAAGTTGTTTTATTTTGACCACTTGGATCAACTGAATGAGAAGAATGTGTTCTTTGTTGCAGGTGTGAGTTGTTCAGACGATGACGAAAAACCCCGCAAGAGGCGCCGTACCAACTCCTCAAGCTCTTCCCCTGTCCTCCTGAAGGAGGTCCCCAAAGCCGTCCCACCGGTCACCAAGACCATCACAGTGCCTGTGGGGGGCAGCCCTAAGATGAGCAGCATCATGCAAAGCATCGCCAACTCCTTGCCGCCCCACATGTCTCCTGTGAAGATCACCTTCACCAAGCCCTCATCCACGCAGACCACCAACACCACCACCCAGAAGGTCCGAGGTGGGATCAGGGTGGTTTGTGTGAAAGCTTCTCTTACCGTACCAAAGGGTTGGGCCAACATCTTCTGGGGGATGAGGAAATCCAGCTTGAGAATGCAATGGTATCACGATGCTGCTTAACCTTTCTGACTAAGCATCTTAAAGATGTTGCAATGTCAGTTGAGATTGAAGGCAGTGTCTCCCAGCTCAACACAACACATTTGTGTTGAGCACATTTGACTGCTGGCAAAAGTTTCTCAATGTTCTTTTCCAGGTAATCATTGTGACTACATCGCCAAGCTCCACTTTCGTCCCCAACATCCTCTCAAAATCTCACAACTACGCAGCTGTCACCAAACTCGTCCCAACATCCGTGATTGCTTCCACCACCCAGAAGCAGCCCGTGGTCATAACGGCTTCCCAGTCCTCTCTGGTGAACAACAGCACCAGCACCGCAACCACTAGTCCCAACACAGGGAGCTGTTCCACGCCGACTTCCACTCCCAGCACAGTTGCGGTGACCACAGTGGTGTCCTCCACGCCCTCTGTGGTTATGTCAACGGTCGCACAAGGTGAGATGCTAGCTGATTTGAGTGAGCGTGGGAAGGGCCGGTAGCTTTTAACGGCCGGGAATGTTTGCTGTATGCCAGAAGTTCCTTCTTCCCCTGGGCAGAATCTTGGAAAGCAAGTGGTTGTGAGTCTGAGACCTTTTTCCAGTTAGAGAAGAAAGCAGTCAGCAGACAGACAGGAAATAGTTACACCTGTCTTAAGTTGTGTTCCTCACATAGTACGGACTTCACAAAGGGAGCACATAGGAAACTGAGGAAAAGGAACCTAATCTTTAGAACCGGCGTGAAATCAAAGCAGCCGTAGGATGGGTTACTTGCACTAGCAGTGATTCTCTAGGCTTCAGGCAAGATTGCGCAATAATCTTTGGGGTTTAGGAGGCATCATTGAGGACCTGCTGGTGATGCTGAATTTACCAGCTTGCCTTTTTTTTAGGGTTTTTTTTAGGGTTTTTTTTTTAGTTTTTTAAGCAGACAAAAAACCCTGACAATTGGTTTATGAAGCCTATCAAAAGTTTAACCCAGTGAAACTTTGATTTAATGGGCTAATTAGGAAGAGCTGGTGGCTACAATTCCCGACTGTCCAGATGAGGTGATTTGCATCAATCTGCATTATTTGCATAATTATATCATTACCCCAATGATGTAAATCACCAACGATGGCTTAAAATTAAGGTAAAATTAACAAATGTTTTGTCCATTGTCTTAGGAGAATGTCCAGAAGGAAATTTTGCCTGCTAAATGGTGTGGGGGTCTATTAAATCAAGGTTTTACTGTCAACCATTTTTTCTTCTTCACTGCTAAATATTAGAGGAATTGCACTACAGGTACTTGGTAGTTTGACGCCAGATTTTAGCAATGTGGCTAATGGGTGAAGAGATACAGATGACTACAAAAAAAGGCTAGAGGGAGCCCATTAATGGATCAGATTTAATCCAAACCATACCGCCATGAAGGTGAGGAACTAGGAAAGGGCAGAGTCTTAACTCTCATTAAAGACAAAAGTGGCCTGGATTGAGGGGGGTGGGGCAAATAATTAAGCCAGCATGCCAGTGGGTTGTACTTTTCAGATGATGGATGTTGTGATGCAGTTTCACACAGTGGTGAGAACAGAAACTAAATAAAAATGTAAAATGCTGGCTGGATAATTTAGTTTAATGACCAGATGTTAGTATGTTTTCATTTCCCTTTTTTAAATCCACTTCTCTACTGTTATCTTTCATCGTACTTTTGAATGCCACCTTGACTCCTGTGAAGACAGTGGTATTCAAAGGTTTGTATAAAAAGAAAACAAAATGAAATTTAAAAATGCACCTGTAAATTCATACCCTTTCCCTCTTCTAGGTGTGTGCACGTCAGCGATCAAGGTGGCCTCAGCCAGGCTTCCTTCACCCAAGAGCCTGGTGGGAACGCCCACCCAGATCCTCGCCCAGTTTCCTAAGCAGCAGCTGACTCCAGCTTCACCGGCCGCTCCACCCCAGCCGCCCCCACCACCCCAGCAGTCTCCTCTGCCCTCCAACATTAAGCCCACCATCCAGATCAAACAAGAATCAGGTATTACAAAACAAAGAATATTGTCCTGGTGACAGGGGGAGGTAGAGGTTTGCAATGGGGGGCAGATTTAGGAGAAATTGGCATGGGTCAATTGACATATGTGGGTAAGAAAGGGACTTGGCTTAGATATCTTGGGGGTGTTTCATCCCATTGTTCCTTTGGGACAGCAGAATCCCAAATCAAGGTCTAGGGAGTGAATCCCCAGCCGTTTATGGCCAGGGGATATATTAGGAAGATGGTTTTCCTAATATCTAGCAGGACATGCTGAAGTTTCAGGAGGCCTCTCCTTGCTTTGGAAGCCTGGTTGCTCATATTTGTGCCTTTGGTGGGACATGTATTTGGAGGCATTTCTGGAGGAGGGGGTCCTTGACCACCTCCCTCATTACCACTGATATCCCTCATCAGCTGTTAGCAAGCCCTTTGTTGGGGAGGCTGGAGCAAAGGACATTTTCAATTTCAAAATAAACAGGACATTTTCAATTTTGCAACTACACGCTGGCATCTTAGGAGCTCAGGATACAAAGGGTCTGGTCGGCATTGGCCAGCCAGCAAAGTTGTCAGCTAAGGAAGCTGTCCTATACAGCTTGGTGTGGTTGGGGTGGCCTTCCTCTATCTGGTACCTTCCAGATGTGTTCTGGAAGATGCGTAAGTAAAAGACAGCTGTGCAGTGTTCTGACTTCAAAACAGTCCAATTTCAATACTCCAGAAGCAGCAACTGCTTTCAGAACCCCCAGAAAAGCTCATTTAGGGCTCAAGATGTTTTGTGACGGAACATTTTGCACACCCCTGGACTGTAAATCCAGGGCACCAGGTTGGAGAATACTGATGTAGTCTATTTTTGGTTTTCCTGAGATGGAGAAAAGTATCCTAGATTACGGCGGACTTGCTACAATTTTTTTCTAGATCTGTCTGAGTTGGAGAGGGCCCTCTTCCTGTCTTGCCTGACTGGTTGGCAATAGTGGTGTTTGATCCATGTATATTGCTTTCCCACTGTGTTATCCTCATCAGCTTTCCATTAATTTATCTTGCTCTGAATTTTAATGCTTTGTTGACCTACTCTAGGACATTAGCTGCATCCTAAACTTTCTCTGATTTTCTGCCCTCCTCTCCCTCCCTTCTAATGCTTGCCTTGCCACCCTGTTCATGTCTCTTTCCCAGGTGTCAAAATCATCACTCAGCAGGTTCAACCCAGCAAAATCCTCCCCAAACCCGTCACGGCGACTTTGCCCAGCAGCAGCAATTCTCCCATTATGGTAGTGAGCAGCAACGGGACCATCATGACCACCAAACTGGTCACAGCTCCTGCTGGTGAGTAGATCTTTCCATCCAGGCCAGTTCCAAAGCCAGACCGAAGAAGTGGGAGCAAGTGATAGTTCTTAGCAAAAGTTGTCAAGCATGAAAGAGTTAGCTCTGGAGTCATTTCTGCTTGCGGAGGGGGGTGGCTGGTAGTCACAGGGTTCTTTTGAAACCCCAGGTTGCCAGCTCATGAACTGATCTTCACAGGGCACACCAAGCTGTATATCTATATTACTCAGGGTTGTTTTCAACTCCTTCCTGGGATTTAAAATAGGAGCCTATTTAGAGATAAGTACACAAAACCCTAACTGGAGGTTTCTCAGATTCAGGACCTGAGATGAAAGTCAGATTTGAAAACTCAGCAGTTTGTGGGAAAACCTCAAGCAGCTACAGTGGGGCAAAAAAGTATTTAGTCAGCCACCAATTGTGCAAGTTCTCCCACTT